CAAAGTAGCATGTGTTGGTAAATCCTGTGGGAAGTGTGATGGAGAAGATGCATCACTCCAAAATCTTGGAGTCCTTTGGAATGAATTCATTCTATCTCACAGTTGGGGAAGCCGTGGGAGACATCTCAGTTTCATGGAAGCCTCAGCCATGACAATGACATTGTTGTAGAGAACTCAGCTAGACAACTTTTTCATTTCGCTAGAGACCCAAATCAATTGAAGGAATCCGATGCTTAGCATAATTGGTTCATGAACTACCTTTAAAGAAGTATCATTTAACATATATAAAATTTAAATTTAAGTACTTGCAATCCTTTCATTTATTTGCAAGTTAGGGCTTACTTTGTATAAGCAATTAAAGCTTATATTTTGGTTTAAAGGAGAAATGAAAGTTATGTTTTTTTTTTAAAAAAAAAAAAGAGTTTCGAAGCCTATTGCATTCCATCAAACCAAGTTGATGTCTGTTGGTTTTTCCAAAATTTATCTTCTCATATCATACGGATGTAAGAAATTAAACCAATTTATTTTGGATTTTCACCGGATCAAATTTTAGGCAGTTGCAAAAAGAGTTAATATAAAAATGGTCCCTAAACTATACACTTTTTATCAATTTGATATTTAAATGAATAAAATTATCAGTTTAATATTGCAACTTTCATTCTGTTATTCACTTTAATATCTAAAATTAACACTGTCAGTTAACTTATTAACGTAACATTAACATTCAACAAAATGTTAACATATGTCAAAAAAGTTCAGTCAACACTATATCTTTGATATCACGTCTACATTAAAAGAAAATTTTAAAAAAATTCAAAAACAAATCTAAAAAATCCTAAACAATTTCTAAAAAAATTCTAAATTTTTTTAAATCTAAAATATTTTTAAAAAATTATAAAAAAAAACTTAGAAACTAAAATATTTTTTAAAAATAAAAAATTCAAGAAGCTTAAGAAATTAAAAAAATCTCAAAACTTTGATAAAAAAATCCAAAAAATTCAAAAAAAATTGATGAAAAACTCAAGAAAAATGAAAATTTTAATAAAAATAAAATTTTGTTAAAATTCAAAAAAAATCACAAAAACTATAAAAATTTTAAATAAAAATATCTAAAAATTGTAAAAAAAATTTTAAAATTTTTGAAAATTTTCATTTTCTTTAATTTTACAATTTTAATTTTTTTTAAAAAATTTTTAGTTTTGAAAAAAAATTGAATTTTTTTGGTTTTTTATGAAAATTTTAAGTTTTTTTAATTTTTAATTTTTTAGATTTTTTTAAATTTTTAAAAATATTTCAAATTTTTGAAATTATTTAATTTTTCAAAATTTTTTAAGAATTTTTAGAATTCTTTTTCAAATTTTCAAATTTTTTCAAAAATTTTTATATTTTTCTAATTTTTTTGATTATTTTCAAAATTTTTATTTTTTAATTTTCAGTTTTTTAAGTTTTTGTATTTTTTTAATTTAAAAAACATATTTTTTATTAAAATTTTCATTTTTTTGAATTTTTTATATTTTATTAAAATTTTTAGATTTTTTAATTTTTAAATTATCATAATTTTTATAATTTTTAAAAATATTTCATATTTTTTTATAATTTTTAAAAAGTTTTAAAATTTTTTAGAATTTAAAAAAAAAATTTTAATTTTTTTTTTAATATTAATGTAACATTGATGTTGTAGCACTGGTTGGATTTTTTTACACATATCAATATCTTATTTGATATTTATATCATGTTAGCATTAAAAATAACGACATTAGTTTAAGATATTGACATGATAATGGAATGAAAATTAAAGTATTAATTTGACAATTTTTTTATATTAAATTGATAAAAAAAATATAATTTTAAAGTTATTTTTATATTTAATCCTTGCAAAAATCACAAAGTTGTCGTTATCTTAAGTCGCAAGACATGACAAAATCAACATGGATTTCAAGTTTGAGATACTAATGGAAGCTAGCAAAATGACACAAGTCATAATCCAAAAATTGAGTTAACGTAATGAATGATCACTAAATTATAGTAAAATATTTAATGTGATATATAAATTATGAAATTTTTAACTAATATGATATTTGAAAAATTATTTATCCATCAAGTGTTATCCTTGGTCAAACTATGTAGTAACTGATTGTACTTATATAAAATTTAAACTTTAGTCCCTATATAATAATTTGTAAAAATTATATCCTTATACTAGTATAATTTAATAATGTTAATTTAATTGATAATAGTATTATTTGATCTACATTAAATTAACTAATGCGGTCATTGAATATACTGATATGGTATTGACTTTAACGATGTAGTATTGACTTGAAAATGTAGTAATTAGAATTGATAAAATTATTAAATTATGCAAATAGTCCTTGTACTCATATAAAATTTGAAGTTTAATTATTGTACTTGCATGAAATTTGAAGTTTAATTCCTTTAATACAAAAAATATTTTCAATTTTTACAAATTTTCTAATTTTTTAAAACATTAAATTTTAAAAATTGTTACAATATTTTCACATAATATTCTATCGCAATATTGAAAATTTTATTACAATATTTATTCACAATTTTCATATATTGGCACTAAATTTGTTACAATTTTTGTCACTCATGTGAAATACTATTACTAGTTTTGTTGTTATTTCTTGTTATATTCTATCATAAAATATAAATCTGCTATTAATTTTGTCATAGTTTTTTGCCACAATTGTAGTATATTATGGTCATATGAAAAAAAATCTTAAACCAATCTATTAAAAATCTATCATTAATTTATCAATATATGATATAAATCTATCATTATCTAATTAATAAAACTATTATTTTTTATTAATTTATCTAATGAATTAGAATTATAATTGCATCTTATAATGGTAAAATTATCCATAAAACAATGTTTTGCTCTTTTAAATTAAATCATATTTAAATGAATTTTTTTATAATCAAATATAGGTTTAAGATTGTTAATAAATTAAAGTAATTTACTAAACTAAATGTGTATTAGTTTTAAAATTAATCTTATTATTTAATTTAACATAATTATTTAAATAAGTTTTTTTTTTTGTAAAGATTCAAAAAATTGAAACTTTTCATTATGATACACGATTTTAATGTTTTGATTTATCAAATAAATCATTTCTTCTTATTTTGTTATGATTCAAAATTTGTTTTTCAAATAGATAGAAACTCACCCTTTATAAGAATTTAAGTTTGAATCTTTTATTTTATTTGATTGGATAGAATGATCATTTCATTCATGATTTATTTTAGATTCATTATAAATTTTATTATATGATATATTTATACTAATTAAAATAATATTCACTTTCATATATTAATTTAAATTATTAATATTATAATTGATTAATATAAATGATAATAATAATATTATTAATATGATATTATTAATAATTAATTATAGACAATAAAAACTAATATATTAAAGTAACTAAAATAGTTTGTATGAATACAAAGACTAAATTTCAAATTTGTATTAATATAGAAACCATTTGCATAATTTAATAATTGATTTCATCAATCCCAAATGCAACATCAATAAGTCAATGTCACATTGTCAACGACCATATTAACTAATTTAGTGAAGATCAAGTAACATTATCTTATCAAATTAAATTAGTACAAGAATCTAATTTTTGTAAATTGTTGCATAAGAACTAAAATATAAATTTCACGTAAATACAAAAACTAATTACATAATTTGACCGTTATCATTTGAAATTGATTACGATAAATATGAATACTATTACTTTAGTTAACAGATTTATGATTTATGTACCACAGTAAAAACTTTTATAATTCAAGTTAAATATTTTATTATAATTTAAGGATCATTCATGACATTAACTTAAAATAAAACAACCAAATAATTTGGCCGTCTAATTTGACAAGTTCCTTTATCCTTTAGTTGCAAATGAGGGTAATATTTTATGAGTTTTCACCATGACATTGCCAAGCCAGTGAAACAAATTAAACTAAGAAAACATGCCAACTCAAGAAATTACTTCCACATCAACTTCTGAGTATTTCAATTTTAGCAACAAAAAAAAAAAAAAAAAAACCAAATTTGCAAATCATATGATATCACTGATACTCAACATTTGTGGGAAATGCTTTAAACCAGAAAAATAGATAGTAATAACTATAAACAGAAGGCTCCACAACCCAGCTCATTAAAGCTTAAAAGGCCTATTGTCTACCAATTTAATTCTTTTAATTCACCTGATTGTGCCAATGGGCTCGGGAATGTGCAAAGAGGTAAGGGTTGCCCTCACTCCTCTTGAACCCTTTCATCACACTTCTCTGAACTGTTATCAAGATGAGTTTCTCTAATGAAGGACCAGGAGATAAATGTTCAATGGTCAAGCTGATGTTGCCCGCAAATCAGTTAAAGTCATACACAAAACTTGAGACTATCTCAAGCTTACATTCATCCACATGGGGGGAAAACACACCAAATCAGATAACTCAGCAGCCAATAGTATAGACTCAAAAGTTCTCAAATCATATGCAGACCTAAAAACTCAACCAAACAACTGTATTAAAGAATGAAAAACTAATCAACTATTCAGATAAAATCAGAAAACAGTATCAGAAGCAGTGTATATTCAGATAAAATCAGAAAACAGTATCAGAAGCAGTGTATCATCTTTCTCAAAGCCACCTATAGTTGTACATTTAGATCCCCTCACACAAATGCGTACCTAGCCATATGCGCTCCAGCTTCATATCACTTAAGCACCACTATCCCAAACTTTTATGCTTGCTCTCTATCATCTTCAGAAGCACTTCTCAATTATCTCAAGAAGCAACTAAAAATAGATTCAATAACTTAAGCTAGCTCTTTCTCATTGCGGATTGGATTTGGAATCTAAAGAATTATATCCTTCAGCTCCTCCATAGCAAAAACAAAGAATTTTAATGCCACAAGAAATTTCTTCAGACCTGATATTTTGTCAGTCAAACATCAGCGTGAAATAGTTTCAAATTTCAGCCAACACTATGATATTTGAAAAAAATAAGAATTGTAAACTGAAAAGGTATCAAGAATATAAACATTGTGGCATATTAAAGTTCAACCAAGAAAACTAGTTCTTGGGTCAATAACTAAAGAAGGTAATTATTTGAACAATTTCTGTTTTAACTTTACATAGTTCATTAGCTTTTTTTTTTTTTCTTATTTAACTAACATGAGAACTGGATGTTCTTTTAACAATTAGGGGTTAAGCATTAAAAGGGAAATTCTTTTCTGGAAATGCCACCAAGAATTTCACTGATACAAACCAACAAAAAATTTCTCAACCTAATATGCATGTTCTCAAACACTTTTAAGAAGTTACAAGCTATAAAACTAAATCATCTCAACCGAAATTCAAAGATATATGGTTCAGAAATTATATATATATATAAGATATTCTAAATCCACAAAATTAACATGTCCCCTAAAACAAACATTGTATAGAAGGAAAAGAATGCTTATGGAAGAAACTAGTGCTGCAAGCCTAAACAGCCCACTCAAGAAGGAAATGACTGGCAGAACAAGAGACTACTGCTGCACCAGACAACCAACGTCCAAAAAGACAAATGACATAAATTAGCACCAATCCATTGATGAAGTTGATGTTGAAAATCATCATACTCCCGTTGAGCATAAGAAAAACAAGTAAAATGCACAATTTATTGTGCATACCAACCATCAAACAGAATATCTTATGAAGGGCAGGACAATAAATAGCAATCCCACAAATTCAAGAAAGAATAAGTTGGAAAGCCAGCATTGACAATTCTACTGGAACCAAAGTCCCAAAAGAAAAGACAGACAACAGAATAATAAAGAAAAAATTATTTATTTCACATTACAATTTTCTTAAGTCACTTTAGCACATAGAGGAATTATTTCTTACTCGATCAGTATCGTGCTAAGGGAATCTCTCTCAGTTCCCGTTTAATGCATAGATGTTCACCTAGAAAAGCCATCACTGCAACTCCAGTACCATTCACAACCCACCATGTTATTGAGGAAGGCCAACCTCCATATATGATGCATATAAAAAGATGGATAATATATAGGGTGGCTGAAAAATCTAAGCACTTTTTTGCCCTTTCAATCAAATAAAGCATGTACACAGCCCTGCATAAATCCAAACAAAAAAAAAAAGTTAAAATTAGCTAAGTTTACAAAATGCTTAATACTATTATTATCTTTAAAATTCTTAGTACATCTTACTTAATTTTTTTCTGCACAAGAACATATAAACTACCGTTTAGTTTAAAACTAGGCAATATCTTCACAGAAGCAATATCATGTTCTGGCCATTAATTCACAATTAAACAAACCTTTGCTCATATAGAACACCAACTGAATCAGCAAGAATAACAGATGCAATGAATTGGGCAGGCAGGTAAATAACTTTCAAGTTTAGCTACTAGTGTCCTAAAAAAAGTTCAAGATTCAATGTTCTTACGTTTCAATTTCAAAATTCATGTGCAAAGCTTTCTAAATCTTAATTTAGTATCAGAAAAAGTATACATATCATAGAACAAATAGAACAAGCCAAACATCACGACTGTACAATGTAATCTGTACATTGATCCAAGCCAATCCTACAACATATAATCAAGGATGAAACAAGAGAAATTGGGATTTTGTAGTTTAATCATCAACAGTCAAAAGGTGTCACAAGGATGAGGTACACAGCAAAAGGAACGTTGGTAAGGTAACAGCAGGAAACATACTGAGTTTTGACTAAATAAATTATTCATATTCAAGCACATTCTAGCAACTAAAACATCTAAAAACCAGTAGATAGAAACCAACAATTTCTTCTATAAATGCATTCAAAAGTTCACGCTAGCAGACACAGATAAACATATAAATGAAGCATAGTTAAAAAACCAAGATGGGAATTATATGCTCACCCTGCAATAGAGCTGAGCAGAAATGAAGCAATGACACACCAGCTGGTAACGGTAGAGGTAGTAACAGTAGCAAAGTCAAAGAAAACCAAACTCACACGATAAACGCGAGTGCCGACAAGAAAGGAAACGAAGACTCCAAGAGTAAGGTAGTATAAACATTGAAGGTACACAATTTGGGCTACAATAAGGCAAGGGTCCCATACCACCGCACCGTAGAGAATGACTATAACTGAAATAGCCCCTTCAAATTCCGAATATCCCCAGATCAGCTAAAACCCCCCAAAAGAATTTCCATACTTATTCCTTGAAAGGATACTAAATTTCCGTTATACCCAAGGGTCAGATCCTTAACAAAAGTAGTTCCCTTGAATTTCTCAGAAAATTAAAAGGATCAAAGCTTGAGTTTTTCGAAGTTAAAGGAAACCCCAGTTTTTTAAGAATGAAACTTCAATGCCAAAATGGACTTTGATGTTCAATTTTTAGTGTACCCAAAATTGAGACTTGGCGAACTCGGATCTGATAAATCATTGAGTCCTGAGATAAACAAAACAGAATCAGGAAGACCTTTTTTGGAGGGAATCTGAGAATGAAAACCAGCTGCTTATTAATAACAGAAACAAGCAAACAAAAACAGAAAGATTTCTCAATTCCAGATTTCTCAATTCCAGCTAACTTGAAAAAAATTGAGATTTTGATTCAAAAAAGAAAAGAAAATCAAAATAGGCGAAGATTGAAAACTAGCCATCGAGATCGATAAAAGCGAGAGGTTTGGGAGCCTTATTTTACCTGAACAAATTCTGCAAATTTTGTTTTTTCAAAACCTTTGTTCTTATTAAAGAATAATAAACTTCTGCTGGGCTCCAATCTCCGCTGGAACTTTCTTTGGAGAGGATTAGCGCGTTTCACTTCGGATCAAAAGGTCGTGAGTTTGACTCCTACTGTTGTCGAAACATTAAGTAAGTATAATGTTTAATTATCCCTTTCTGTTCAGTGATTTACTTAATGCTGAAACCGATTTGTTAGCTGACTAATTCCAGAGAAAGCCAAATGGTCATGGAAAGTAAAACTCTTGGGCTTCCAATTTCCACCAAATGGATTGCATCCTTTTCAAATATAACTTCAAAATGGCAAACTCATGGCTTTTCCAGAGAGATGCAGAGTTGACGAGGCTTACTCAACGGGCCTATGACTGAAACTATATCTTTACTAAGATTGATTCGGAGTCGAAAAAAGCTATGTTGTTTTTCTGCTGTTAGTCGAATTGTTCTCTTCAGCATCTTTTACCCCGAGAGATGCATTCTTAAGGAGGGTACAGACTACAGAGTGTTTTCCATCCAAGCAATGAAATGCAGAACAGACTGCACCTTAATTCCCAATGAACATGCAAAGGTTGAAAACTTCAGAACCTGTGTTAGTATTTCACCAATATGAAGAAAAACACGGATCCTTACATGCACAAGTAAATTCCTTAATTTGAATATCTCGGTGTCAGATTTATACAGTAATACAAGGGTATTGCAAAAAGCGACAATGAAATTTAGCAGAAGAGTATTAGAACTCAGGATGGTTCACAGCCTCACTGTGAGCTACCTTTTCTCCTTCTGCTAGTTTTCCTTGCACTGATAGTGACTTTTGCTTCAGTTTCACCATTCTGTTGATGCTGATCATTTACAGGAACTTTGAATGAAGTCATTTGACTTCTCAACCGTAATATTTCACCTTTAGCAGATCCCAATTCTTCCTCAAGTTTCTTCACTCGCTTTTCTAAACTCTCCCTTTCCTTGCCAAGTGCCATGACAAGGCTATGAGCATCTTCCATGTTTTCTTGGGCTTCTTTAGATGCATTCTTCTGCTCTGTAAGTGTTTTATAGAGCAGCATTTTCTCATCCTCAAGACTATATATTTTAGCATTAGCCCTTTCAAGATCTCTAGAAAGTTTCAATATATTGCGGTTCGTCTCATCAAGTGACTTAGTAGCCTCTTCCAGGGCTGTTTCAAGTGATTTTCTTGCTTCCTTGTCCTTAGCAATACGCTTCTCCAAAACCTGTAGCTCTTTGTTTAAAGAAGAAACAATGTTTTTCTCTTCTTTCAAATCATTGGCTGTGCTTTCTGTCTTTTTATAGACATCTAGCAATTCCATCTGAAGGCTATCACGATTTTCTGTCATAGAAGTCAGCTCATGAGAAGAAATCTGCAGCTCCTCCCTTGTTTTCTTCAGAAGCTCCTTTGCAGTTGTGAGCTCACTGGCTAGAACTTCACCGCTTTGTTTTGCCTCATCAAGGCTATCATGCAGTTTTCGGTTTGCTTCATCAAACTCAGCCCTAACCCTAGAAACCTCAGACTCAAGCTCTTTACAATGATTTATTGATTGCTTTAGTTGATTGGACAGATCAGAAACCCCACTTCTGGGCTTCAAAAGAGTTTTCTCAGCAAGTTGAAGTTCTTCTTTTAGGTTCTTTACATTCTGCACTTCCACCTCCAGTGCTCTCTTCAGGTGTTCCCTTTCCTTGTGCAAATCAACAATAATTGCTTTATTTTCACTTACATCATTTAGAGCGAGCTCAAGTTTTTCTTTTAGAAGGTGAATTTCCTTTTCTCTTTCCCCCAAAAGCTTAGCATCTGCCGCTGAGTTATTTTCAGAAGACAATTTCAGATCATTGTAATCCTTCTGAAGAGCACCAAATTCCTCCTTAGAATTATCTCTTTCAACCATTAGAGAACTTATCCTAGCATTTAATTCATCCACTGCAGAATTCTTGGATTCAAGTTCACTTTGATTTCTCAGTAATTCTTCTTTCAATCCTTCAATCTCCAAATGTGCTTTCCCAAGTTCTTCCTTAGTTTGCTTGTAGGTAGTGTTCAAGTTCTTGAAATCTGATTCTTTTTCAACAAGGGAAGAGCTGAGCTTTTGAATGTCACCTTCCTTATCGCTTAGTTCAGAACTGAACAAGTTAATTTTTTCTTGTAGGACATCAACTGATTCAAGCTTTTCCTTCAGTTTTTGTTCAAGAGATATTTTCTCTTCCCCATCCTTTGAGAGGTTGCTTTGAAGACTGTCTATTTGAACTTTAAGCTTCTCAATTAACTTCTTCTCATTTTTCACTTCCTGCCCTAGGCCTTTGATTGTGGTGTTAGCTGAATTTAGTTGGTCCATTAAAGACAGCTGTTCTTCCTTTCCCTCTTTGAGTTGCTTGGTTCGTTCTTCCCGTTCATTTAGCAGCTTTGATTCAAAATCTTTCTCCATCTTAAAAAATTCAGCTTCCTTTCCTTGCAATTTGATCTTCATCTGCATGTTGCAATCAGTGAAAGATTAATTGTATACAAATCCAAAACAAGGGTATTCTGTAATGGAAATTGAATAAATAATTTAGAACTACAAACAGTATATTAAGGAGAAAACACCAAAAATATTCTTTAATCTCTGTTATTTCATTTTTTTTCCTTTCTCTATTGGAAAGAGATTAATTGATAGAAGGTAATGGAATGGGGAGGGGGAAAGGGGGGTTGAGAAGTGGGAGAGACAATGGTATTGTTGAAAAGCATCTGACTCTGTGTATCCAAAGGAGGGAATTGACTTTTCCTTATTTGTGTTCTATCCATAAGTTCTTTAATTCTTCTTGAATGCTCAAAGCCATCTATAAACAATGAGAGATTGTACAACAAAATTTGACTTTGAAGGTAAGTGATGAGCTACCAATTCTAGGGTCTCATCAGTTGCTTTCATCTCCTTCCGAACGAAAGCATAGAGTGCACCAAGCACACCAGCACCAAAAACTCCAAGACCATTCAGGAGAGATAGAAAGGGATTAGATGGTGAATCTCCCCGTGCTTCCTGTCCATGCAAGCTACCCCATTAAGAAATTTTGAAACATAAAGTCATAAAATCAATAAGTAAACATAATGAAAGCAAATAGACTGGATGGGATCATATATGAGAAATTCAGACCTCTATCTTTTGGTTTTCCTCTGGTTTGTTTAGCCCGCTTTCTGCTATCTGGTTTTCCTCTAGTTTGTTTAACTCAGTTTCTTCTGAAATAAGATGAACACAGAACAGAAAATGAAACCAACTAAAACAATGTCGATATATACAAGTTCTATACATCAATGTCCCATAAGGCATTGACTGTACAATTCTACGACAAAAATTAGAGATAACCCATTACAATAAATTCAATAATTTGATTAAAAAGATCAAATATTGAAAGAAAAAGAAATTTAAAAATAGGGCTTTACTTAAGGTGGAGCCCTCAAGAGCTTTGGCTCTGAGTTGCAAGAAAGGAAGAATGGAAATACCCACAAAAAGAACCGTCCTCCTCTTGCTGTTTTCATGGGTAAGAGAAGCCATTGGAGGCCTGATGCTTCTCTTTCTTCTCTTGGTTTCTGCATTTCTGAAGTTAAAGATAACGGATTGAGAAGAAGAAGACGGTAATTGAGAGTTGGAAATGGGAGTTTGCAAATAGCAGGAGCTCACCATCACGAAAACCATTTCTATTTCTTCTTTTTTTTTTTTTAAATTGATCTTTTTGAGTCTGAGAGATATTTAATACACCATTTGTACGGTAAGATTGGTTGAACAATATTAAAAATAATAATAAAATTTATTATAATTGAAATTTTATAAGAATTATTATAATTACGATTAAAAAAAATTTTAATAAAAATTTTTTGTTAATTTAATTTTATTAAAATTAATATTTAAATTTAACTAAAAATAGATAACATAAACTTAACCGTATTACACAAAAAATGTGGTAAAATCCAAACGCCACTAAGCAGACTGAGGAAGAGAAGAAACTTCCTCCGACTTCGCTCTAACTTCCGGTTGTTTGTCTTTTGTCAGTGAAAGCTTTCGGAAAGACAAAAATGCCCCTCTTGGTTGTGATAATTAGCGGGAAACCCCTAGTTGACCAAAAAATGTTTTTCTTCTATTTGACCTTGTTATGGACTTTTGTGTATTTTCCTAGTATAGTTGACTCGAATCAAATATAACTCTCCTAATTTTTTATCTCTATTAGATTTGCAATAAAATTTAAATTTTATTTTAATTAATTCATACAATTATCTTTAAAATATAATATTCAATAAATTTAAATTTTAAGTACCAACCCATACAATCTGTAAAAAAGAAAATAAGAAAAAATTTACATAATTAAAAGTTAGCTAAAATATTAAAAGAGTGTTTAAAATTTATTACTTTATTTAAATAATTTTTTTATATTTTTATTGTATCTAAATAAGCATTTATCTTTTGATTTATATTCAAGTAAGTTTTTATTTTAAATAAAAGTCTTTTGGTTTATTTAAATACAAATTAAAAATTAAAAATTTATTTAGATATAAATTAAAAGTTAAGAGCATATTTGATTACAAAATAAAAGTTAAAAATTTATTTCAATGTAAAAAATATAAAATTTTATTTAAATAAAATAATAAAAATCAAAAGGCCTTTTTTTTTAATCATTTTAGCATTAAAAGTTTTTTTAAAAAATAAGTACAATTTAAAAGTAAATACATACATCACTGATGAGATAAATTATTAAGGAGACTCACATTGCTTGCATTATTAGTTATCTAACTCAATGATATAAGCACGTGCATAATTAGAAAATCAATCTCCCTTTAAGTAAGTAACCAAATAACAAATTTAACTAAAAATGACATTAAATGATCCAAAAACAACTATAATTAGAATCGATAAATATTTTTAAAAATTGAATCAAATTGATTTTTTGAGTGAAAAAAGTACATATTTTAACTATTGAATTAAATATATATATATGAAATTTAATTCAATTAATTTATAGAATCATTTTTAAAAATTAACAATCAACAAATTTAATATTTAAATTTTAACACTTACAATTTTTTCTCATACGTCCAACCTACTATATCTTTTGTATAAAAAAATAGAGTGTTGGCATAATAAAATGATATCTTTTGTATTAAAAAAAAAAACTATTGGTATAATAGATTTATAATTAAATAGATACTATTATATATTACTATGATGGCAGCGAAATTGATATTTGTTATCTTTTAAGTATCTGTATCCAAATTTATTTAATATTTTATAAAATTTGAATTTATTTAAATTTTCATTTAAGTTTAGTATCATTATCTAAATCTCAATCTGTTTAAGTAAATATTATCCGTTTAAATATCTGAATTCATTAAAAATTTATTTATTTAAAATTTTTATTGAATATAAAATAAATCAAATTTTAATTTAAAATTCAAATTTACTTTAATTAAAAAATAAATAAATACTATTTGTTAAGGTTTGAAACTTTCCACAAGTTTGTAAAATAATTAATAAATTTGGATATAAATTTTAATATTTGTTATTATTTATTAAAATTTAAATTAATTCGAATCTATAAAATATTATTCATATCTTATTTGAATTTGTCACAAATAATAAATTTTTTATTTAAATTTATTAATTATTTATTTATAATTATTCAAATCTAATATAAATAAATTAAATAATAACGAATATTCATTTATTTAGTATTTATCCTCATTCTTACATATTTTTATGCTAGTATTATACGGGGCAAAATGGGTAATTGGAAAAAAGATATAGGTCCAATTACAAAAGCTGGATCAGGATTCAAGAGCTTTTATACCCAATGCAAATTTGGCAAGTAAGAAACGTGAAACTGACATTTATCCTGAACCTGGGTAGCTGTGTTACCACGTCACACAACTTTTTCCTTTTCTGTAAAATGTAAATATTCTTAGCTTTCTTGTCACGTTCTCTACGGTTAGACAAAATCTATCACCAATTTCAACAAAAAGCAGTGGTCAGCTGCAGCCTGCACAAAGCAAATCTGTACTAAATTCAAGAACCCGCCTCTTAGAAAGAAAATTGTGAAAAAGCTAGTAGATCTTGCCACTTTCTTAAAAAAATAATAATAAAATAAAATAAAGAAAATATAGATTAAGGAAAATGTCCAAATCCATTTATTAATTCTTTGAAAATTTTAAAATTGAAGTTTTTTTTTTTTTTCTTAAATGTTAGATCTCCGTAAATACTATCAATTATCTAAACATACTTTTATTTTTATCAATTATGAAAGAATTGAAATGAATTACATTTAATTGTTAGTCTATCTATCATCCACTCGTTAAGGTTTTATTTGGACGATTAGTGGGTATCTCTTTCTATTAGGTCATCACGTTGTTTCGCCACTAAATCATAACAAAGTATAAAAATATGAGTATGGAAGGTAAATTTATCGGTAATCCATGAATTTTGACTTGATTTAATTATTTAAAGTTGATTTTTTAAATTAAATTTTAGTATTTTTAATTATTTATTTAATTTTATATTTATATATATTTATTTATATTTATATTTAAAAAATAATATTTTATCAATTTTGGATCAGATCATGTTGAATATGATTTTATATAATATCAGATTTGATTAAATTCAAGTGTAAAATAATTTTAAAAATTCAAATTGGATCAAATTCGATTATTATAAGTATAAAGTTGGATTGAGTTTAGGATGAACAAAAATTTATCCTGATCCGATCTATTATCATCTCTAAATATGAGTGCAGGAGTGCAAAACTTCTTTATGACAAATATGAGTCCATTAAACCATTATTTTTTCTTTTTTGTAAATTACATTTATCAAAAAATATTACATTCATATTACATCATAATAAAAATAGTTAATTAATTAATAAATTACAAGATAATTAAATAATTAAATCTATAGAGTAAAATTTAAAATTTTAAAATCTCCTATTTACTATTAAAACATTAAAACCAACACCTCATGTAAACAAAACCATCGGTACTTTTGCTCCTGTTTAAAAAAAAAAGATTGTTGATAGTCAAGTATGTGCTTCTAAAAAACTATTAACTAATTATAGTTATTTGCCTCAGCACCAAATTTCATGGTTCTAAAATCATATGATGTGCAAAGCAAATTTTAGAAGAATTATAAATGTAAAGATGCAATAATTTTCTGCCCAGTGAATTGAGTGAGTTCCTTTGACCATGCTTCCCATTATATTTATGTAAAAAAATCATTATAACTTGAGCTCATTTATTTTTCCTTTTTTTTTTTTTCAAGTAATCAGGTTCTTTTCAAGTACTAATCCTTGGTTTTGGTTAAAACCAAAATCCTTTGGATCAGCTTAGCCTAAGCTTTTGCCTGATTGAAGCTTAATATCGGGATACTTTTTTGCAGATAAGCAGATAAATTTCCCTTTCTATGGCTAAACATAAAGGGATGCGTGGACAAGCTACTGGTTGCTGCATGCGTTTTTTAGACCACAGGAAGATGTCAACCAGCATCTGACCTCTCAAGCAATCATCTATGCAACGTGTACTTTTTTTTTTATTACGTGACAAGTGGTTCTTGAACTTTGCCCTTCTTCGAACCTATCCAGGCTTATCTACGCCACGCGAGCCTATTTTGCAATACGCACTTTGAAAGTTTGAATACAGAAACAAAGAGTTAAGACAGCTACCAGAAAGTCAGGGAAATTAAGTGACTGTCTAGAAGAATTTGGAGCGGAGCAAAAGCTAGGTGCAAATGGCTAACACAATCAACAATTTCTCTAAGAAATCACAAGGAAAAATAAAACTTCTATGAATCTAGATGAATGGAAGATGTCAGTGTACCTTCCATACAGCAGAATGGACAAAAACAATACGTGGAGCTGAGCATTCAGTCTGACAATGTTCTTCAGCATTAACAGCCAACCATGTAAATCCAAACTTGCAAGAAATTGACATCACTAAATTGCAAACCGATTAGCCTCACTGACCTTCATGAACTAGAACTTATGGCAGACAAATAAGATTAATCCCCATTTTGTTGTCATATATTGCCAGAATAGGAAAGACAGCTGCAGACTAAAAAGAATTATCTGAAAGAGAATGCATTCACTTGATTGAAAGCGGCATAGATTCAAGATTCAACAATGAGTTCTTCGAGTTCAAAAGGCTTCTACAACAGCTCACACAAGAGCAATGGTAATAACAGATAAAATAAACTGATAAGATGGGGTTTTTGGCCACTACTAACTCATCTAATCAAAATTATAATGCAACAATAGTCTAATATTATATCTGTCTCTGGACTATGAATAAAACTCTATGCTGTGCTATCCGTAACTCACTATTTATGCATTGATCATCCATGGCTACAAACAGATTCACATAAACAGCTCTTTATGAACAGATGATCCAGGTACTAAACTTTGCAGCAAATTTATCAGTCTTGGAATGGAAGCCTGCAAAAAGCAACCATAATTACAACCCATTATATGTCAATAGGCATACCCATTAGGAAGAGATCTTCATCATCACTCTGCTCAGGAGAACCATTGGAGTAATTATTACAAGTTTTCTCCACTTCCTCTTCCGTGAAAATCTCCTCAGAGCGGCAATCAAAACTGCAAAATGCCTTCTCACCTCTGCAGGAATCAGAAGAAAAAACAGCCTCAGTCATTACAACAAGATGTAACTGAAGTAAAAGTCACAAGGGGATGTGAATTGTATAAACCTGTTCATGTAAATGTCTTCATTCTTCTCTAGTTTTTTCTTGCAAGAGTAACAAAAGCTCAAAAACTCATCAAAGGGATAAGGGGTTGAAGTCTCTGTGCTCTTACAGAGTTTAGGCACTTTGGTTCCTGGTTCTGCTTTTTTGTCAAAATCGGTCAACTCATTGTTGTGACATTCCAAAATACAGTCACCCAAAATGTGAGTAGTTTTAGGGTTTGGACCATGAGAAATTATACAAGTATAATCCTCAGAAAGTTCTATCTTGTCTGTCGAGAGAGATCCCATGCTATGGCTGAGAGGTATAGGAAGTGAACTCGGTTTACTTAATAAGGAATTATCTACTTCAACTGCTCTGCCAACTTGCAGAGGTGAACTATTAATGCCGGTGGTTCCATTCTTCAAACAAAAACATCTAGAACTCAAATTGGACTTTTGGGTAGAGGCAACAAAAGAAGGGGAAAGCCAGCTGGAATCTGGTTTGAGTTCTAATGGCACTTCCTTATTTCCAAAGACAAGACTAGAATCAACTGACTTGGTGTTGGATTTTCCAGCTTGAAAAAGTTGTGAAATTGTGTAATTCCTAGGCAAAGAATTAGATTTCATATAATTACCGAGGAATTCATGGGAATACCTTGAGGAATGAGGAAATTTAGTCTTCACCTGTGGTCCAAATATTATATTCTTTGGAGAATCAAGGTCTACACCATCTGGTTTAATTTCATCAGCAAGCAAATTCACAATGCCCAAACCTATCTTACTGCAGTCCCACTTCTTTTGATAACTACTTTGGGATGATGATCTAGGACACCTAACACTAAATGGGTTGCTAAAATTTACAAAAACTCTCCAATCAAGAGGAGATGTAGGGCTCCTCACTGTATCAGAATCTGAAGAACCCTTAATACTGAATCCAACAAGGAAACCAGGAATATTGAAAAGTGAGCTTCTAATATGCTTTAAACCCAATATATCAGACTGAAAATAGGACTTCGAATCAGGATCAGCCATCAGATTACCATTCATTGAACTTGATTGCAAAGTATGTTTTCTCACACTGCATTATCTATCAAACCTCAATCTTTCAGCAAGAAAACCAGCAATTTCTTACTGCATTAGAATCAAGAATTTATCAATATAAAACAAATATGATTGATACCAAAACCAATAAATATAATGACCAAAGCCATGAAGAAGCAAGTACCATGTATGGCAATACCTCATGAAAAAAATAAAGATAATTGATTTGGCCACCCAAATGACAATATTCAACCGTGATAGAAGTGGAAGCATAGCTCGTATACAGTTATATACAGATAGGGGCAAAAGAAAAATAAATGCCTAGATCATCATATCATATTCAACCACAAAAAGCCCCAAAAGAATGAGCATTTTGGAAGCTACGATGCAATAACAGGGACAATGCCATAACAATTTTACTTTAAAAAACAAAAGTTTGGCCGAGTCTTTCAGTAAAAAATAAAAATAGTACAAGATCCTTGAATCATTTCAATAATACAAGATGAGAAGCAAAAATACTTGAAAATCTCAATAGAGCTCTAAAAAACTCTTCATCAAAAAACGTTTTTGAGCATCAATGAAGGAAACAAATCATCCCTGACCTTCACTTAACATGATAAAGTAAATCTCAATCAGCAACAAGAGGCGATCCTTTTGAATAGCTTGTATGCAACAATGAACTATATAAACATACAAGGCAAAAGAAACAACTAGGCCGATCATTAATCAACATATAACTCTAATAAGAAGCGAGCCGCAATGGGATTAGCATAGATTTTGATGATCAACATTAATCAAACCCAAGATTATCATTGATCAAAAATCTTAAAGATTCCCAAAAATCAGACACATTTGAAGAGCTTTCAAGCTAGAGAAGTGAGAACATCAAAAAGAAAAAACTCAAAAACAAAAGCTTGATTAAAACAGAATGCAAATTTTACTTCAAATGCGTCAAATGGGTACCCAAAAAAGAAAAAAAAAGGTTAAAGCATCAATATTAACCAAAAAAAAAACGACCCTCGCATACATCAAAACAAGCATAGACATAACATTAAAAGTCAAAGTTAAAACATACAAAAAGAATGAAAATCAAACTGGTTTCAAACAAAGGTCCAACCTTTTTGACATCCAAGAAGCTAAAAAATGTAGACTGATAGAAAAATAAAAATAAAAGAGCTAAAAAATTAAAAAATAGCAAAAATAAAACAGACCCACCTGGTATTCTTCCCCTAAAACTTGAAAGGTGAGAGGAAAAAAAAAAAAAAAGAAAAATCCCAAAATGCAGAAGAGATAATTTTACTTTGGCTTTGAAAAAATATAAACTCTCTCTCTCTCTCTCTCTTTTTTTTTTGCAATTTTTTTGGTTTGCTTTTTTATTAAAATTTTTTAGTAACTATTTTTTTCCTTCTTCTGCAATGCATCAAAATCAGAGAAACAGTAAGCCAATGAGCCTTCTGGTACTTCTCCTTTTATTCTCTCTCTTCACTCTCTCTTCCTCATGATTAAGAAAAAAATACATATTTTATATGATGTATTTGTAGAAAAGAGTGTATATTCCTGCTTTTGGAGTTGAATACAAAAAGAAAAAGAGTTTCTTGTGTGTGAAGTAGTCACACTTGCCTACACTGCATGCAAATATCCTCCACTTGACTTTGTCCATCGTGTTTTTTTTTTTTTTTTTAATATTTTAGCTGTCCTTCTTCATCATCAACTTTTTATTTCCATTTCTCTTCCTTGATTCTTTATTATCAGTTTTTTTTTTCTTTTTTTTGGATTTTATAATAAAAATATTTTTATGGATATGGTAAATATCTTAAAATAGCCAGTAATGTGAGCAAGCCTAGCTTCTTTTTTTTCTTTTTTTTTTAAGTTTAACAAGTTAAAATTTAAAATTCAAATCTCTTCTTAATTTTATTATTTTGATAAAAGAAAAGTAATTGATTTTCTAAATTTTTTATTTAAAAAAAACAAGCACTCATCACATAACCCGATAATATCTAGTAGTTTTAAAGTAAATATAAAGATTTTCTAAATAGTCTTTAAAACAATATTTTCTAAACAGATATGATATTAAAATAACATAAAAGGATATTTTCAAAAAAAATTTATTTATTACCAATTTTTTATTGTTAAAATTTGATAAACATATTTTGTTCATAGCCAAGATTTTTAATAATTTTTAATCTATCTTTGACTTTATTTATATTTATCTAATTCAATTGTGAAGGATATAAGGCCTATGAATTATCATTGAAAAATAATTTTTTTATAAAAAATATGATTATTTTTTAAATTATTAAAAATAATTAAATATCATTATATATATTTTAGCAAAAGATCGATTGGCTGCTTTCGTCAATCTAAAATAATTAAATTTCATCTTATTTTCAAGTAACAATCTTGATTTAATCTTTTTTGTCAAATTCATTTAAAATTTTTCGTTTTATTATCAACAAATGTATATTAGCTTTTCATTCAAAAATCAAATTCGAATTACCTTTTTATTTGGATTCAAATCAAATACCTTAAAAAAGTGGAAACCAATTATTTTCTTTTTCAAAATGAAATGTAAATGGCCAGTGAAAGAATTTGTAAAGGAAAAAAAAACTTTTTATTCAGACCATAAAATGGTCCATTGATGATACATATTAAAAATTCCAATTGTATTGTATAAAGAGAAAAGCTTTTGAAGTAGGTGTTTACCTTTGTAAGCACAAAAAGAGAAAGCTGACCAAAATCGTCTATTAACGCCGATGTTTTCTTTTGCGTTTAATTACGTTAACCAATAAATAGATTTGGTAATATAAAATATAATATAAAATTTAATATAATTTAATTTAATATAATTTAAAATTTTAATATAAAATATATATAAATTTAATAAAATAAAAAAATATTTTTATATTTTCGTATTTTTATAAATTATGATATAAATTTTTTTGTTAAAGTACAACATAAATATATACAAATACTCAAATTATCAATAATTTATATATGGATTATTAAATTTATCAATAAAAATAAATAACCTAATTTATAACATATATTTACAATTAGAATTAATATCTCGCCATTTCTTTTATAATAATTAATTAAAATATTTTAAAATTTATCTAAATTTAATTTATTTTGAACTATTTTAATCACTTTTTCTTTCACATCAATTTATTATATTTAAATTTTTATTTTAAAAATATTTTTAATAAAAATTTTTTTATACTTGAAATTGTTAAAATTCTTGAAATTTGGATGAGAAATTTTGAAAAGTTCAATTTTTTAAAAAATTCAACTTAAAAGGGTAAATTTTGTGAAATTTCCTGTTTCTATGGTAAGAAGTCAACATTTATAATAATTTTTTTAAGTAATTTTTGTCTTCACTTAATTTTAATTACAAAAACTCATTATAAAATTTATTTTTCATATTTTTACAAATCTAATAACACCAATATTGTATATTTTTTTAGTATTTTTCTTTTTCTGTCTCTAATATCATTATTTATCTATTATAAATATTTTTCTCTCATCAAATTTCAATATTTAAAAGTCATTTTAAAAAATAATTATTCAAATAATATAATTACAAATTCTATTATTTTGAATTATGCGTTTTAAAATGCTAGCATTCAAAAATTTTGCTAATTTCAAAATTCTTCATTCAAATGCACCATTAAAATTACCTCAATTTCTCAATTTCAGTAACATTTAATATGGGAAAAATGCTTAGAGGATCAATTAAAGCATGAAATAAATTGGTTGGGAGTAATTTGGAGAAAGAACTTTTGGTATTTTTTTTCTTTGCTTTGGACACATAGCAATCAAATTTTTTCATCGTTTTATTATTTTATTTTGTTTTGTTTTTTCTTTTTAGTTTTATTTATTAATTTACTTATTTTTTTTATTTACATACATATTTAAAATTTTATATTAGGAACATGTTTTTGATCATTGACAAACATAATAAAAAAAACCAAATATATATGTTGGACAAATAAATTTATACTTTTTATAATTTTATTTATTTATTTATTTGTATCATATAAATTTTAAAAAATTAGAAATAAATTAATATTCTTCCAATGATGAAATTAAAAGAAAATTGCAAGTGGTGCTTGAAATTACTAGGTGAGGAATATTTTTAGAATTTACAAAAAGTGTTAGAAAGATTTTGGAAGTATTTCAATAAAAAATATTTTATTTAATTTAAAAAAAATATTTAGTAAAAATAAAGGTTGGTAAAATCAAAAATAAAAATAAATAAACTTTTTTCTTTAAATTTTAAATTAATCCAATGGAAAAATTTTTAAAAATATAAATTTCTTAGATACTCTTGAAGTAAGAGATTTTTTTTTGGAATTCTGTCCAAATATTGGAGAAAACATAAAACTTTCTAATATTTCAAATAATGAAATTTAATTAAGAATAAAAGACTATTTAGATAGTTGACACTTGAATGTCTTTACATTTTACAATTTGAGCCTAAACTAGGAAAACTTATCCAAAGCTAAAAAGGGCTTATCCTTGATCCTAATCCACTAAACAAATAAAGAAATTATGTGAACTGGATTAGAGAGGTTATGTTCACACTAATTGAAAAAGAAAAGCATAAAAATGTATAGGAATATGATCAGATTCATAGACAAACCTAGACAATAGATATTAGACACGTTTTCAATTAGAAAATGTTGTATTTACGTGAGTAAATGAGAGACTAATTACATTCATACTACAACTTATTGTGTTTACATGCAAATCTCATGATTTTAGGCACCATTTTAGCAAGATTGAAGGTAATCCCATTAATTTTGGCAACCCCAAAACAATAGTCCTTATGTGTTTCCATGCTTGGAGGAATGTTCCAAACTTATTTAGTTTTGGTCATTACTTAGTACTAAACATCAGATTTTTGTTTATCCTTAAGTAATATTTTAGATTATTCTAAAGTTTTATATCTTTTAGGTAGATTTTCTAAAGTGGTGAATTTCTTTAATTTTGTATACAAGCATAGTATTCGTAGGATGGTGATTTTTATACCTCTTAGAGATTGTTCTTAATGGTGAACTTTGCTCATTTGCAATTTAATAAATAGCCCCTATTTTACAATCTATTTTTGTTAGTCATCATTCATTGTGTTCTATTAGTTTACCCATTTTTGTCAAGCCCTTAGAGTACTTTTGTAGTTTTTTTGCATCAAACAGCCTAAACATCTTAACCACCCATTGCTAGTGTCAATAAGTCCTTTTTAGGATAACATAAGATTAGTTGGTACTATCTATAGATGGCTTTTTAAATGTGCTAATATCTTTTATACAAGTAAATTAATCAATAACATAAAATAAAAGTTATCGTTAAGTGGGGGCAAGTCACAATTTAGCTACTAAATTACTTTTTATTTGTCAAATAGCTATTGATTTTGATAAAAAAAAGTTTAATAAATTATTGGGTTTAAATGTATTTTTGTGTTAGATTTTAATTAGATTCAAACATAATGAGTTAGGTTTTAATTGGATTTGAAGAAAGAAATGTCAAAGTTTGTTCGATATTAAATTTTAATTAGGTTTATTTTTATAAATTTTGATTTTTTATCATTTATTATCTACAATAAAATAAAATAGAATAATAAAAATACAATAATAATTATAAATATAAATGATATAAAAAAATAAAAAGTTATTTTCCTTTTTTTCTTTTATTTTAAATATTTTTATAAAAAGTTTATAATTAAAGAAATTAGAAAATCATACATTTAATCAAATAATTAATAAAAATACAACACCAATTATATAACATGAAAAAATAATTTAAAATGTAATCTTAATATATAAAATACTATATATATATATATTTAATTTTAACTTTTTATAATTATTTATTTTATTTATTATTTTTATATTAAAATAATTAATTTATCCAGCTTAATAGTGTAAACCAATTCTAGTAATAAACAAATACAATAGTAGTAGACTTGCACGTTGACGCGGGCAAAAAGGTTTTTAACAATGAAAGTGTAGAAATTGCTTATCATTATTATTATTATTATTATCATTATTATTATTATTATTATTATTATTAAAATGAAACAAAAACAAATAACATAATAATGGTTGAAGCAAATTAGGTAAGAAGCAAAAGGGAAATAACAACAAAAAGCTTAACCTTCAAGTTGTGAAATAGGTATAGAAGCAAAGTTATAAAAAACATAACAATTAAAGTTGAAAGGTATAATAGAATAAAGAAGATATAAATTATTGGTCTGGATAGATACTAAGTTTGAAAGTATTTTCATTGATCATCACATAAAGACAATAATTACTAGCTGTGTGGAGGTAATTTTTCTATTGGAACAATAAAACCATCTGTAATGAAAGGATAGAAAAGAGTTAGCATAAAAATAGTTGATAGGTTTAGACATTAAGCTATGACTGCTAAAAGTTTACAACAAAAAGAAACCAAAAGACAACCAAAAGAGCAACCATAAGTCATTGTAGAAGCATAAAAGTTGTATGGCCAACAAGTGATATAGTAGTTTAAATAGTTGATAGATTTAGACATTAAGCTATGGCTACAAAAAGTTCACAACAAAAAGAAACTAAAAGGCAGCCAAAAGAGAAGGCATAAACCATTTTGGAAGTGTAAAAACTATATGTAGAGGTGAGCAGCTATTGGTTCAGACCGATTTAACTAACCGAAACCAATGAAATATGGTTATTTCGATTTGGTCTAGTCAGTTTTCAGTTATAGTCGGTTTTAAGATCGATTAAATTCATTAAATTAATCAGTTATTGGTTTTTAAAATTGATAACCGAATTAATCGATCTGATAATAACTAAGGGTAAATATGTATATTCTCCTAAAAAACCTAAACTTAACTCACTTTTTCTAAGCATGTTTATTAAAAACATTTTCAATAATTTCTTACAAAAAAATTGAATGAGGTTATTCATGGTGTTTCTGGCAAAAAATGCCTTGAATAATCCTAAAAAATTTTTATGAGAGGATTATTAAAGGTGTTTTTAGCTAAAATGACTTAAATTAGCTTCATTAAATTTTTGTAACACCTTCAATAATCCACTGCCATTTTTTTTATTATTCAATGTGTATTTGACAAAAAAATCTTGAATAATCCCTTACAAAAAAATTGAATGGGCTTATTCAAGGTGTTTCTGACAAAAATGCCTTAAATAATTTCTAAAAATTTTTATGAAGGGATTATTGAAGGCATTTTTAGCTAAAAATTCCTTGAATAACTTTCATTAAATTTTTTGTAAGGGATTATTGAAGGCTTTTTTGGCCAAAAACACCTTCAATAATCCCTTGCCATTTTTTTTATTATTTAAGGCATTTTTGGACAAAAATACCTTTAATAGTCCTCTAATAAAAAATTTTAGGAATTATTCAAAGCATTTTTAGTCAAAAATGTCTTGAATAACCCAATTAAATTTTTTGTAAGGGATTATTCAAGGTGTTTCTGACAAAAAACGTCTTCAATAATCCAAAAAAATGGCATGGGATTATTGAAGGTGTTTTGACCAAAAATGCATTCAATAATCCCTTACAAAAAATTTAATGGAGATTATTCAAGGTGTTTATGGCATAAAACGCCTTTAATAATCCCCTTATAAGAATTTTTTAGGATTATTTAACATGTTTTTGACAAGAAGCATCTTGAATAATCCCATTAAATTTTTTGTAAGGGATTATTAAAAAATATCTTGAATAATCCTATTAAATTTTTTGTAAGGGATTATTACAAACCGTTTGAAGATTTGGAAACTAGACTTAAAGGGCTTTCTATCCATATAAAGTTCATAAACTAATTCATTATGTACGAATTATAGTGAATTTTCAAATCTACCCCTTGTGCAGTTTTCTAGACAACTGCAGTGTGTCTAGTAAAAATTCAAAATCTTTTTTTAGAAAATTTAGATTTTTATTTTGTTTAATCCATTAGAAAGTTATCTCAAAGAGCTTTCCAACCATATAAAATTCAAATATTAAAACCTTGTGAATTAATACAAAAAAATAAAACATATTCAATGTTGGAAAACTTTATTATTGTAAAACAGCTTTCTTAAGTTAATCTATTTCTTAAAACCAATATTATCAAAATTGTTTTAAGTCCAAAATGAATAAGTTCACTTTAAAAACAACAATTTGACTTTTATTTAAGCTCAAATAAATAATCTTTAAAGATAGATTTGGTTTGAAAAATATGACACCAATAAATATTTGTTTAAACTTTAAAAATCATATTATTTATTTAGTAACAAAATATAAAACTTAATAACATTTACTAAATAAATCATTTTTCAAAATCTTGATCACGTTTATTTAGCTTTAATGTTTTGTCATTTCAAAATAAGGATCAATTCAAGGCTAACATAATAGTTACACAAGTTAATAATTTCAATATTATTTAAGGATAATAATTTATACATAAAATATTAGTAATATTTTATTTACTTCGTAATAAATATAATTAAATTATTAAATTAAAAAATTTATTGATAGTAAACTAGTTTTTATAATATAAATTACGAAAAAAAGATTTGAATTGGAAAATAAAACTAATATATTAAAATCAAAATATTATATTAAAAAATTATAAAAAATCATAAAAATATTTTAAAAGTTGTTACAATGAATATTAGTTTGAAAATATAAAAATTATAACATAAAATAGTTACAACTAATTTTAAAAAGAAAAAAGTTTTTAATTCGCATATTAAATGAATAATATTGATTATTATTAATTTTACATATCACTTCATTATAATGAAAAAAGTTTTTCACCATTTTAGATGAGAATTAGATAACTCTTTAAGATAGTGATCTAATCACTCTTGGTGATCCAAAATTATTGTCACGTAAAATCACTAAATGGTTATTAAATATGGTAATCTAATCACTATATATAGATTACTATAACTTTTGAGTGATCACTTCATACCAAACACTACTTTATTTTATTTTTACAAAGGATGTAATTTAAAAATTTTAATAAATATATAAGAAATTGTGATAATCCTATAATGTCGAAAATGCTAAAAATAATTATTAATTAGAGAAAGTCAATGGTACGCTATTTTTATCATATATTTTTCAATTATCTTATACACTGAATTTTATTTAAAAATTTACTAACAAATCTAAGGATACCACAATTCACGTATCATTTATGTAATTATAAGTAATATAATTAATTAATTAATTAATATGTACAATTTAATAAAGATATGACGTTGATTTAAATTTATTTTTTGAATTTCTTGTTTTTAGTTGAGTAACGAAGGGTTTTTAGGTTTCGCTTAGTAAATTTTTGTCAGAATGATCTAAATAAATTTATCTATATTAAACATAATAAACTGATAAAAAATTATTTTTCCAAATACCACAGCGTCCTAAGCAACCAAAAAATACATTTATTTAAATATACTTTTTCAATTTATCACTTTGATTTCACTTGAACTGAAAAATGATAAACAACTCAAGCCCAAATAGCCATGGAGCCCATTTGACAATCCCTTGACCTTATGGGCTCATAAATATCAAGGCCTGCTATTAAAAAACTACGCATAAGGCATACAATAGCGGCAATCCTCTTTTTATCCCTATTTTGTTTTTATTCCCAGTTTTTAACTCTCTCCACGATCACAATTTATTCCCCTTTCCGTGTTTAATTTTCTTTCAAGAAGACAAAAATGGAACTTTTCAATTTTCCTTTAAATTTTGAGTTAGAGACTTCTTAGAACTTCAACAAAGGTTTGATGTTGAAGAGAAGTTTGAGAATTTTTAGCACTTTTTCCGGTAAGTTTTGATGGGTTTTTGTTGTTTTTCGAAATCGGATTCTGATTTAATTAAAGATTAGGGCTTTTGATTTTGGGGATGATGGGGTTAATTGGAATTTGATTTTTGGGAAATGATAAATCAGTGATCAAGAGTTGGAAAGTAAAAAGATCAGCCAAAAAGAAAAAGTAACTTGAATTTTAGTGGTTTATTTTATTTTTATTTAGGCAATGAAGGGTTTGATGTTGTTAACTTGGGTGTTGAAAGATTGAGAATTCCGTGATTTAGAGTTGAAAAAGGTTATTTTTCGAGTAATTTTTTTATGGGTTTTGTTGTTTGATTGAATAATAAAGAAGCTTGGTATTGCTTTCTTTCCTTTTATGAGGAGAAATGATTCAAGGGTTTTAGGACTTCTCGAGGAGTAGGATTGTTGATGAGAATTAGAGGGATTGTTTTTTGAAGAAAAAATAAACGATTGTTATATTGTTCTTGAAGTTTGATTGGATAGGGAAGAGGAAATTTTGGGATTGAACCTACTAAGGTGTAGGGGAAGTATCCTTTTTGTAGGTCTTTATTTAAAATTTTATTGTTGTTAGGCTTGGATTTTTAGGGATACTTTTGGGCTTTGTTGAGCTGAATTTTTGGTTTTAATGGATGACATTGGGGATGATGCTAGATACCTTGCAAATCCGTATGGTGTTAGTCACCAGCAGGGTTATGATTCTTTGAATCGCCAAAAGCTTCCTGTAAGAAATGTTCCATATTCTGGACCGATTGGGAATCAATATGTTGATGATGATGAATACGAGGAGGAAGAAGAAGATGAGGAAGATTTGGGAGAGGAAGAGGAGAATCATATGCAAAATAATGGTGTTCAGTATGCAGGAAAAGATATGGATGATGATGATGACGACGACGATGACGAGCTAGATGATGATGAGGATGATTACAATGTAGGTGGTGATAAGCAGAAAGGTTATAATCGAAAGAATGATGATGTTGAATTGGAGAGGCACCCAAAAAAGAGGAAATTGAAGAGTTTGGTCTCAAGTTATGAATTTGCTCCTCGAGTACCAGCACCAGCAGTTACAGCCCCATCGGTGCCAAAGCCCTCACATGGTGGGAGAAATTCTCTTACAGATTGGACTGAGCGTGAGACATTTGTTTTGTTAGAAGCATGGGGTGACCAGTTTTTGCAATGTGGGAGAAAAAGTCTTCGGTCCAAGGAATGGCAAGAAGTTGCAGAAAAGGTTTCAGAGGTTTCAAAGATTGAAAGGACTGACACCCAGTGTCGGAATCGATTGGATACTTTGAAGAAGAAGTATAAGAAGGAGAAGGCTATGCTGGCAGAGACTGGTGCTACCGCCAGCAAATGGGTTTATTTCAAGAAGATGGATATTTTAATGTCAACTCCTCCACAGCAGGGTGGGCTATCTTGTGGGTTGGACTCGGGTGAGTATGTTTTCATGAACCCTAGGGTTTATTTGAACCGTGCAAATGGTTTGGATGAAATGAGGGATAGCCCAGCAAATTCAGAATCTGCTGATGGTGAGGAGGATGTCTCAGATGGACTGCCACCTAAAAAGAGAAGATTCAGGAGGCAATGTGATGAGGGTTCTTCATTCAAATTGCTTGCAGATTCTATTGAGAAATTTAGTGATATATATGAAAAGATTGAGAATAGTAAAAGGCAGCAGATGTTGGAATTAGAGAAGATGAGAATGGATTTTCACAGGGAGTTGGAAATGCAGAAGCAGCAGATCATGGAGAGAGCACAAGCTGAAATTGCAAAAATACATCAGGGTTTCGACGAGGAGAATGATTCTGCTGAGAATGCTAGTAGGTAATGCATGCAAAACCCAGTTATCTTTGCAATGTTGATTAGATGTTGACTGCAAAATGTTGTTGTATAATATATTGGTGCCTTTTGCTAATTGTTACCATGAGCAACAATAATAACGCTAGACATGCTGTATCAATCAAGTAGAAATTTTACTAAATTTAGAAATATCATTACTCGCATAATCACTTTTACCACATTAATGCATAGATCTGGATGATTCTTTTTTCCTCTATCAATTGCTGTCACCATTGATCAAGCTTGAAAACGTGGACTTTGTGATTATTGACATCATTGTTGCAGGTAAGTGGGTAGTTGTATTTCTAGTGTTTGTTCTCGTGAAAATAAGGTTGGCTGGTCCAGTTGAAGTGTAAACTTAAGACGTAATGCAGTGATCTGACTTCTTGGACAGTATAAGTTGTCCTTTACTCGTTTTTTGCTAGATACGCACTAGAAACAATATCTGTAAACTTGCCTTTTGGTGTTGTACATGTTAAAAGAAAAAGAAAAAACAGAAAGAGCTAGAAGATTTTTGAAGGTGGAGTGGATAGATTTTTGAAGTTCAGTCAGATGTTGGTTGAGAAGGCAACTAGATCCCAAGATCTGGCTTCTGGTTCTAAATTCTTTTCTTTCTTTCTTTCTGTCCTTGTTTTTTTTTTTTTTTTATGGAGAAAATTTATGATTTTAAATTCAAATCCATGATAGTTAGCTGTGCAGCCCCGTAGAAAGTATCCGTTCTGGAGCTGAATATTCCCGAGTTAAGATTGCTCTAGACCCACATAAGTTATTGGCTGAATCACTGGAAAAAACTAAAAAAGGCGTCAAGTAGTATTAGAAATTTAAAGAGACGCACATGCAAAATCTTCTAGTCGTTTACCTAACATTATTTTTGACAATTTTGAGTCCTGTCCAGCAAGCCTCAGCTGCCATGCGCCCATTTAAGACATGCAAGAATTAGCAAGTTTATTTTCCAGCAATAAGGAGAAAGAAAGATACCAACAGAGAGGTAAAGAGAAGCCAAAAAGACCATTCTCTTGTACTTTCTGCCAGTACCATGTGATCAAATTAGGGATCATCTGACATGATTGCCTTGCCTCCACACTGTTAATACAATAAGCAGCTAATTAGTCCCTTTCAGTGTACATATAATGTTCTTTGAAAAGATCACCGTGCTACAAAATAGAATAAAAAAAAATATGGTAGTTGGTGTTTCAGCAAACTAGCTAACAAAGGCACATATCCTATGTTTAGTCTCTTCCGTAAACCTCTTTTGCACAACCATTGTGGGTTCCACTTAATGTTGTTGATGGATAACATAAGTGATGCTGAATTACTAACCTAGCTTTGACTGTCCATTCAATAAGAGATAATTCTCAGAATTCAGTCTCAACTGACTAAGCATTTTTCACATCACATGTCGCAAAATTATTCTACATATCTGACCATTCACATTTCAATTTTAGTTTGGTTTGATTACACCTTGCTCTGCCAAATCCAACTTCGACTAATGTGTAAATCGCTGGCACCAGACTTCTCTCTGAGGTTATCTACTCACCGTATATAACAACAGAAACCAAAGTAATAATGTGAAGCTTCAATTGAAACAAAATCCAACATTTGAAGACATCAACAACAATACCCAGAATTGAAGTGACTTTTAATCTCGTGACAAAATCCTACAAACATAAAATGATTTAACACTTGGAAATCCTTTAAAGAGTAAATTTTAGCCTCCCATTAACAGAAAAATGTTACCTGGGAAGCCCCGTTGCAGTTTTTTTCTCTTGAAAAACCCGGATTCTAAAGACTCACCCTTAATAATAAAATGGAGTCGCAAAAGACAAGGCTTTACAAATTGAAACGAACAAGACAGCCTCGTCAGCCTACAACTATGTCTCAGGCTGCATAAAATTAACAAACCACCCGACTAATAATTTATGCAGTAGTTGTAGTCTCCGATTTGTCAGTTTCCATTGGCTCTAAGGAAGCTTGGGGGACCTCACCAGTACCTGCTGGCGCATTTTCACCGGGGTCAGCACTACAGTTAGGGCTTGCATTCGAGTTAGCATTGGCATTTGCACCCTGTGGCTGAACATCATTTCCCTGGGTTGCAGGGGTTGGTGGTGATTCAGGTGTGGCTGGTTTAGCTGGTTTAGGTTTCGTCATTATTGGCCTGCAAAACCTGTTTAAGGCAAAATTTGAATCTCAATATCACAAGTACCATATATTAACATATATATACATATATAAAATAGTAAGGAGGAGAAAAAGAAAAAATAACTTTTAGGGTACAGAAATCTATAAATAAAACAAGAGGATACGAAACCTTAAGCAAGTGTAAGAGTGGTACCTGTCTAGTGCTTCAGCCTTCTTTCTCGCATCAGCTGACAAGAGAACTGGAGTGGCATACTTTGGAAGTTGTTCCTGCTGCTGCTTTTTGTCTCTCAGCCAGGCCTCAGCTTCCACACACTCATTTAAGACCTACAATGCACCAAATGGATTTGATATCAGCAATAAAAGTGTGTGTGTGTGTGTGTGTGTGAAAGAGAGAGAGAGAGAGAGAGCCCTTACCTTTTGTTTTTCAGCGAGTTCAATGTGATCAAATTTGGGACCATTTGACATAGCTGCCTCCCTGTAACTATTAATACAGTAAGCAAGCTGATCAATGACAGTTCCCCTCTCAGCATACTCTCTGTAACGTTCTTCAATAGGATCCCCTTGCTGCAACAGTAAGAAAACTGTCAGACACACAACTTATACAGTCAACCTGAAAAATTACAAGAAGAACAAATGTTTACCTTCTTAAGCTCTTCAAGCTTGGCGACATAGACACCCTTTGTTTCATCCTCCCCATCTTCATATAGCCAATCTTCCGTTTCCTGAAGCTTAGCAGTAAACTCTTCCTTCTCCGGAGCAGTGACAAAATCGTTGTATATATCAGTAAGCTGAAGACAAAGCATAATTAGTTTTAAGATCATAACAGCCAAAAAACAGTTCTTACAAATTAGTGACAACATTTTACCTTATTCCTCATGTCATAGACATAAGCCTCAACAGCATTCTTTTTATCCTTTGTTTCTTCCATAACCCTATCTTGCAAAGCCATTTCAAACTCTTTCTCTACTGCTTTTTGAACATCTGCAGGTAACATTGCACCATAAACCAACTCTGCCACAGGGACATTTGTTTTTTTCACCTTCTTCTTGGGAGCCTCAACCTATATGACAGGCAGAACAAAAAATGTAAACAACCAACCAAACCCATAACTCAAGAAAAAGGCTATAAAAATATTCCATATTAACAACCATACCAAAATTTGGCAACCAGAAGTAGGCCTGCTTTAAAGGCTACACCACCAATTCTGGCAATTCATGTATATAGTGGAAAAAAGAATCACTTACTTTAAAATCAGTCTCCATTTGCACAGGCTTGTCGCCTAATTCAGGAACACCATTTTCAACCCCTGCTGCATCAGCTGTACCCTTGGCATCTTGCATGTTAACATCTGTCTCATTGGCACTGGGGGCAGCAGTATTGTTAGGTGCTTCATCAGTCTCCATCTTAGTATCCTCTTTTGCTGACTCTTTTGAAACTGGAATTTCAGCTTCTTCCTCTTCCAAGTGCTAAAAACACATAAAAATAGTCGGGAAAGAGCACAACAAATTCACCTTTCAGCTATAATTAAAAATTTTAGAAGTTAATACACAAATACTTACAGTTGCTGACTCAAGGGACACGATCCCGTGCAAATTCAGACGAACTTTGACCTTCAATTTTGGTCGTTCACTTCTTATTGTTGGAAAAGGACCAATCTGCCATTTTACAAATGCCACAATTATTTCCCAAATCAGAAGGTTGAGCAAGAAATTTTCGTACTGAACAAGTTACTCTTATGCTGAAGTAAAAAACTAAAAGGCATGATAATTGGAGTTTGATTACGGTTTGTGGATTAATTACCGTGTATGTACTGATCTTTGCCGGAACCTGCAAATCACTTACATCAGAATATTGAACATCAACACTGAAAGTACTCATCTTGTAGAATGTCACAGCCTTGACACTGGGTATAGGATTTCCCTTTGGCAAAACCAGTTGCTGTTGTTCTGCTCCTCCATTCTGAGCATCTGGAGCGGATCCTTTCCATGATAGTGAAATCAGGAAAGGGAAGCTCTCATTAACCTTCAAACCATACAAATTAAGTGGTGAGCTGTGTTCAAATACAGCAAGAACAAAAAAGCAAAAGGACCAGAAATGACAGTAGGACATGCTGCAACAAGAGAAACTGAAGTATGGAAGAGGTCCAAGGAAAAATCTTGCATCATTCCCATCCTCAAGACAATAAAGAAAAATAACAGCTAGAAATCATACTACAATGCAATCAACTGCTTAGGTAATGACTTATAAATACGCTGCAGGGATAACACCCAACAGAAACAGCAAAATCATGATGATAACTTGGTAGAATATTACCTGGAACTCTCGAACCTTGAATGTGGGACTGAGAATTGCACATTGTAAAGCACAACCTCTTGCAACACATTCACTAGCATTCATTGTGCGCCTAGGCTCTTTACCAAAGAACTCTGTGAGGATTTTCAACATAGCAGGAACACGAGAGGCTGAGCCAACAACCTCAACCATATGAACATCCTCAACAGCAAGTCCAGCATCAGCAAGAGCCTTCTCTAACGGCCTCTTCACACGTTGCAAAATTGGAGCACTGATCTGCTCAAATTCCTCTCTCTTAATGAAACCCCTAACATCCTTCTCATTCATTAAGCACTCAATATTCAAAGGTGCCTCAGGATTGGCGCTAAGTACTTTCTTTAGCTTTTCACAAGCAGCTCGAAGCCTAATACAAGCCCTTGCATTCTGGAAGACATCAATTTTGTATTCCTCTTTAAATTTTGCAGCAAAATGCTGAAATAGAACTTCATCAAAATCCCTACCACCCAAGGAGCGGTCAAACGAATGAGCCAGTATCTTGAGTTGTCCCTTCTTGAAGCCAGCAATACAAACTTGCATGCTAGCATGCCCAATATCAACAAAGGCAACATTTAATTGGTCATTTTCAGGTAAATCAGTCTTATAAATACCATATGCCAATGCTGTCGCTGTAGTTTCATGAATCAAGCGAAGAGGATGCAAGCCTGCAATTGTGGCTGCATCTAAAACTGCCCTTCTTTGAAGATCAGTGAAATATACGGGAATTCCAATGCAGCAATCCACCACTGCAGCATTCAGATTCTTCTCTGCTATGCTTTTCAAATTTGACAAAACCATTCCCAAGACTTGGGTTGGGGTAAAAGTTCTCATTTCACCTACATAACGAGCATGAATCAAAGGATATCCATCAGGACCCTCAGTGACATTGAAGGGCAAGGACTTGAGATCCCTTTGCAACTCAGGATCAGAGAATTGATGGCCAATCAACCGCTTTATCTGAGAAATTGAATTTTTAGGGTTCATTGTAGAAGATGCTGCACCTGCAGTACCGATGAATCTCTGCTTCTCCCCAAAGCATACAATAGCCGGAGTTTCACGCTTTGATTCATCATTAAGCACGACATCAATCCCTCTCTGCCTTGCAACAGCAACAATGCAGCTCTCGTTGCCAAAATCAAACCCGACAACGCTCATCTTCAAAACAAATTACACCAATTTACTTAATAATTTAAAACGATCTGCACTTAAAAAAAAAGAATAGCTATAATATTATAAATAAATATTAAAGCAACATGATATTAGAAATCCAGACATGGCATCACCATAATCACACGTTTAATAAGTAACAAATTACCAAATCAATATCAATCACAGTGATATAATACATTCTCATTTACTATGAGCAAAAAATTGCTGCTCAAGATTCCATGTAACTTCCATGGACTTGAACTCATAGGATCATTACTCTTTAATACTCTAACTGCCATAACAAGATTCAATTAACATTTCCCTTCTTTTTTTCTCTCATTTAAAGAACTCTAGTTGAGCTGATTATTTGCATTAGAATACACACCATTCGATGGGCATAACAGTCAGTGGCATGGGCTTACCTCGTGCAAGCAGAGACACAAGTACATTTGAAGTTAATCAAACATTTTAGTTTAAAAAAATTAAGTAGTTCTACACACATTAATCAAACAATTAGAAACATATTCTAAAATCTTTTAAAATCAGATTCCAACTCAAAAAGAACAGTCCTTTGCATAACTAGCAATGACAAATCGAAATCGAATTCAAATCAAACTAAAGCAACTAATTTTAACTAAATCTCCAACGAAAAAAGGTTGAATCCAAAGAACATTTGCAAAAAAAAAAAAAAAACCTTAAAATAAGCTAATTTTACACATAAAAGAATAAAAAAATTAGAAATCAAATAAGAAAACTACTTCCATCTGAATCAATAGAACCAGCAAAATCTAAAGAGAAAGAAACTCGATACAAAAAGCATCGAGCGGAAAAAAAATCGACCGTTGCAACAAATCTAGAGCAAAAACTAAACAGATCTACAAATTCCAGATGGAGAAATAAACGCAAAAACAAAAAAAATAAAATAAAACAATCGACAAAATTGTAAAGAGCGAAGGCCGGCGATCGTACCTTTTTACGAAAGAATTAAAAGAGAGAGTGAAGAGAGAGCCAAAGACGTTCAGAAACACCTCTCTTTTTTTTTTTCGGGTTTTTTTTTATGTTGGCGCAAGAGGGAGAGTACGAAAATATCCTTACGAAGCGAAACGAAGTTTGGGGGCCTTTTATAAAGGCTGGTTTGTGTGGAATTTTCGATTTCTTTTTAGACTTTTTTTTAATTATTAATAATCGATGATTTATTTGTTTTGTTTTTTAATTTATATTTTAGTTCTGCGGTAGTCCCTGGGGTCGTGCGGTCCTAGAGATGTCTAGATGTACCATGGCTTCTAGAAAGATCTATTGAAGGAAAAATATTTGGAATTCTTTATTTTTTTTTTAATTCAAGAATGCTTATGAATTATATAAATATTTAATATAATATCTAGATTTAAAAAATTTTAATATAATATTTAAATTATAATTTTATTAATTAATGTAATATTTATTTTAATATAATTAATTTCAAAGATATATTATGTATAAATAATTCTTCAAATTTTACATTAATTAATAAATTTAAGATTTAAATATTATATTAAAAATTTTTAAAATTTAAATAACATATTAAATAAATAATATTTTATTATAACTCATTAATCATTTGTAACGTTAATATAATAAAGTGATGGGCCGTTGGATCTAATAAAGTGATGGGTTGTTGGTGGGCTCATGCGTTGGACTCTCGGGTTTTGGGAAATGGACTTACGAGAATTGGTCCAATTTTATGATGACTCATGACTGCGTTCCTTTTCAACTCTTTTTTTTTTTTTTTAATTTTTTATAGTAATTGGCTTAAGAGAAAAAAAAATGCAATGATATTTCTTATAACCAACTAAAAAAAAATAAACATGTGATTAGAAATTTCGGGAGCTAAGTTCGTAAAGTTTGTTACTTAAAAGCTCGATATACTTGTGGAGAAACTACCATTCATAAACGGAAATTTAAAAAATAGAAAAACCAAACATGTAAACATATTTGACAAGTCATGAATTACACTTTGATTAGTTTTAAATTAAAATTTAACATTTTACTAATAAATCACATAATTATCAACAACATATTGTGTACTTTGAGAAGACTTGCGTAGTTGTATGTATGAAGTGAATTAAATCAATTTCTCATGCTACTTTTAAATATTTCTTTTTATTTTGAAAAAAAAAATCTCAGTCCAATTCTTTTTAAAGGAACTTATAGTTTTGAGATAGGAAAAAAGTTAATTACATGTATTAAAGTTAAAATTTTGAACTTACTAAATAATAATAAGGAAATGATAAATAATAAGGAAAGAAAACTCTTTTTATCAACTGAACTAATCCTGAGGATACATACATACTTATATAGCATAAAAATCACTAACCCTAGGATATATAAGATTTGAGTCACTAAATGAAATAGTCTTCCAATTACTTTTCATCATTATTGTCACTTTTAACTTTTTTTCCCATAAAAATCACGTTAATGTAAGACATATTAGAAAGTTATGGTACAGTCAATTTGATGCATAATTTTTCAAAGATAGTGAATTTTCTGGACTTGGAAATGAGGAACTGATCAGCTAGGCAATGGTCCAACAAAGCGGCCAAGCGTGCAGGCGCATTAACTGAATCGTGCCAAGTACTGAAATACTGAAATGCTAACCCTTTACCAAAGAGAAAAAAATGCTTTCCTCCCCATTTGTTTTACATTAATTAGTACTAGAGTTGTGCCCGTACTACGTAGCAGTGTTGTTTTTTGCGAAAATGTATATTATATGTTAATATTAATGTTCATATATGTTTTCATAATAAAAGACACATGCAATAGCACAATAAAAATTGTCTTAAACTGTTAGAAAGGATCACAAAGCAATTAATTACATATGCAAACTAATGTCTAGAAACTTTACCTCTTTATAATAAAAAATTTAGAAGTAACTTTAATATAATTTAGAGGTGCAATGCACATAATATATTTTAGACACTTTTATTAGTGTTATAGCACTAAAAAAAAAAAAAAAAGAAAAAATTTTTTGGTTAACTTAATGCTTAGAATATGAGTTATTTTTAGTATCATAATTAGTTATATTATTATTATATTTTCCAAGGATCCTTTATGATTGAAAATAATAAAAATATTATTTAAAAATGTTATACATTGCCTATGATATCATAGATGACATCTAACACTCGTGGTAAATCTTCAAATTCTCCTTTGTGTAGTCAACAGCTAAGGCAGCAACTAAGCTTTTCAATAACTCAAGTTTTCTAACATTTGAAATGACTGCAACTTCTCTCTATATTAATAAAATTAAGCAGGCATAACTATAAAATTCTAAATATTTATCACACTAAAAATAGAGAAGAAACAATCAAACCAATGAAAAATAAAGAAAAAGAATAATAGTTGATAACATAAAATGTATGTTCATTCAAGTATTATTCGGATAGCTGCACTGCTAGATTATGATCCAACAGGAGTCTATTGTTGATGAACGGTTCATGCTATTCAATCTTATTTTAAATCCAATCTCAAGTGATGTTGTTTTAACTAAATCATATTGATCTATATTGTTCAGAAAATAAATAAGAGCTAAATTACACGTTATGCAACCACATTATGAACAGAACAAAAAATAATAACATCCATAAAAAAAAAAACACTACGCAACCAAAAAGTTTGTATCACACAACAAACAGACTGAAAAAGCAAAAGAAAAAAAAAAATCAACTTTGGAAAGCATGCAGTGATGAGAATATTCATTTGTCAAGCCATACCAAAGAAGCAAGAATCCAAAAATACCATCAATTGTAGTACACAGAAGCTTTAATACTGACCTGAAATGAATAACAGAATTTATCTGCAATTATGACAGAAAAAAAGAAAGATGAAGATAACTTAATTAGCCATTGATCAAAATTAACTTGTAATTCATGGAGATTAATCAGTCTGTAATATACCCACTAATGCAAAATAAGAAGTGCCAAAAGTTACCACCAGCTACACTCAATCCTAAATGCAAAACGAATTAGATCAAAATTTAAAATAATGTCTGATTAACCATTGGTGCCTTAGAATTACATCTAATCTTAATACATATATACCTTTCTCATTCAATCAAGAATGATAGCTGTATGTGCTAAAGTAACATAAATGTAACTATTAAATGGAGTGAAAAGTATGGAAACAATGGATTAAATAGAAGGTTCAAACAGCATCAAAGTTCGGACGTACTGTTTTATAATGTAAACAGTAGAGCATTCAGAATAACATTTTTGTTACTTAAAAATAAAGCATGAGACCATTTGTTATCTGCAGCTCAAAATTTATAGACATTCTCTCTATTCCTTAGGGAAATTAAAGAAGAAAGGTTAATTAGAGGCAATTTAATTATCATATCATTATTGTTGTTCATGTGGCCTCCGTAGGCAGAAGCACTCCTTGCAGCTCAACACTGAATCCATTCATCTTTTTATTGATGTTTTGATTGTTTTCCAGGTTCCATCCAACAAAATCATCTTTTTTTTTTGGGGCAAAACTTGTCAAAATTGGTTGAAACCTCCGTTAAATTAACCTCACTTTCTCTCCATGCAACACTTCTTCTGCATTATGTGGAAGTCAGGAAGATAGTAATTAAGTAACATAAAGATAGAAAACTTTATGAAACATAAACTAACTAATGGAATTATATAACAAAGACCGACACAAATACTGACTTGTACTTGTTTAATTTGGTTTTTGGGTTTATTCAATGGATTTTAAATCCCAAGAATAATAAAACTGAAGTTTTCTTTTAAGCGTTGCCAAATTTTCTAGCAAGCCAAAGTAAATGAGTACTCAACAAAACCTTAATCCAAGTAATCCAATTTAACATTTAGCTCTCTATGGCTTAATTAAGATTCAAAGTCCATTTTTTTTTTCATGTTTTTTCAGTAATCAAACATAAAAATCAGAATGGACAAAGCATTGCTTCTATTTGAAAGCTCAAACAAAGGACCAGCTAAACTACATCAAAAACAGATGAAAAGCATACAAAAATTTGAAAGGAATTTTGAAAATAATATTAAAAAACCATTCACCTTTCTCGGCTAGTTTACTGATCGACGCAAGAACCGAAGTCAAGATGCTTGCTCTTGGTCCATCCACCAACTGCGAGGTCAGGTTGTACCCACTCAGGCCACCGCTGGGTTTAGCATACACACACTCTCTCTCTCTCTCTCTTTTCTTTAATAATTGGAAAGAGAAAGAGTTGGCTTCCCATCCATGGAGGAAGGGATAAACTCGCCCCCCGCTTGTCCAGGAAGGTCGAATGGTAAAGGAATGGCATTGGCTTTATCTTCCTCCTTTATTTTTTGGTTTTTTGGTCTTCCCAAGAAATTTTCCGAGCTTTATCTTTTCATTTTACGAATCATTTATGAAAATAAAATAAAATAATATAAAATTTACAAAAATAGCCGATCACAATATGACAATTGGCACAAAAATTGATGACCTTCAGCTATTCTTTAGAATTTTCTCTTAAATTTCCCTTATAATTTTTTTGGACGTTGTTAGTCTGTCCTATAATATATGATTGGGAGAGCTTTAATTGTCTTTATAGATATGTTTTTACCAAATAAAAAGGAACATGCCTTCCAAAACAGAGGTGTTTGTTGTAAAGAAAATTATAACATCAAGCCATTATCTAATTCATATTTATGTTATGGTGAATTTGATATTTGGTTTGAATGATAATCCATCATGTATGAACCAAATACCTTTAAAAGAATTACGGTTGGAACTTAAGATTTTTATTTTAATTTCTCCCATTCTTATCATTTGAATTATATATATAGAAAAGGTATTTACTTATATCAATGTAAATCTTTTTAGTTTTATATATTTTTTAATATTAATTTTAATAAATTCAAAAGATAAAATTAAATTATTTTTTTACTTATCTCTCTCATCTCTTAAATTTATTTAAATTAATAATTAAA